AAGCCCGTACACTACATCAGATTTTAATCAGATTGATAATAATATCATGCTTGAGTTGTGTGAAGCGAATCGAAATATAATTTGGAAAATCGTGTTATTTTCGGGAAGTTTCGATGTCATGGTGTCAACGCTTTCCTCCCTGTGTTATTATATGAGTAGTAGGGGAATTTACCGGCGACTGACTAACTATGCCGATCCCACTTCAGGTCGTTTTTTATTAGCCAAGAAACGTTCCGAGCGCCTGTGGTTTTCACCGGCTCCACCGGCGTTCCACAGCAGCGCGCGCAGAGCCCATAGAAATACGTGGTACAGTGGTGCGCGTCTTAGCAACGTAGAACGTCCGTGACGTAGCTCCGCCCCCGAGGATATAGATGAACTCAGGTGACATTAATGTTGGCTAGTAAGAAGTTGCCTTCGTTAGAACAGTATCATACCAATATAGGAAGTTGTAGTTTAAGATAAAACATTAATCTTGAACTAATTCCTGGCCCAGTACACTACAGCTACCAGATCTGGTAATTTCATTTGTGGACGATTGCTTCCGTACTCGCAAATTCCTTTGTCAATCGGAGTTTTAGATTTTGTGTCTACCCATTTCGACTTTGAAATGGTGGTTGCTAAGTGTGAATTAACTCTTCTGTTGTCTGAGTTAGATTTCACTTTGAATATATTCTTGAAACCTCTGTATGTTCTCAATTTAGATATGTTTTACTTTGTCAATTATGTCTTCATTGTTAACAATTCTTAATTGGTTGCTATTAGCAATTTGGGTTTATACTTCCTTGTACCATTTACTGTTAATTTTGTTGCTCAAACCTGCAGCGAAAGCGAGTGTCAAACAAACGTGCGAGAGCGTTTTATCGCAAGAATTGCCGTTGGTGACAAATCAAGTTTTAAACTCAAAGTAAATTAGGTGTAATTCAGTGACTCTGGTCCAACACTTCAAGCTAGTCTCATGAAAATAACGCAACACGACTGGATGGGACACCCTATGGTTAACAATTACGATGTTTGTTACTCATCTAACTAGTTTCAGTTTCGCGCAGTAGTTTTTTTTTTAAATAACATTTTTTGTTTGTTTACTTAGCAGTCACGTGACTACCATTGAATTATATAAAAAAAAAAATACACAATTTTAGGAAGTGTGAAATAAGAGCTTTAATAAAATGTATACTTTACTATAGTTCAGGACAATTCTTATATGAAAATATCAAGTCTAATTATAATATCCCTGTTAAGTCTACTACATCTAAGAGTAATATTTGTATTCATTATGCAATTGTAATATTTGATCACGTGAAAATATCTAATAGGTGTCTGTGAAATTCTCTGTAAACGCACATTTTAGGAGTATTTTTCAGAAGACAAGTATAAACCGGCAGTAGTTTAAGTGTACATCCTCGATGTCAGATTTATAAATACACTATGGTATATGGCTAACTAATCAGATGAATGTAAATAAGACCCTTCTCTGTTCATACAAAATCATCAACATTCGCACAGCACAATTACCTCAGTAAATGTTTATTGAAGAAAGACATGTACGTGGGATTTCAAATACTAGTAGTCAAACTATAATCTATTTCAAGGGCCTATCTTGAATTCCTTTAATATTGGATTGAGTTTTAGTGGAATTTCGTCCCAAAATTTCACGTTACATTTCATGTTACACAGTCATAAAGGACGTGTAATAGAAAAGACAGCCATAGACAGGAGCTTAAAGCGCGATGGTCGTTGCGCAGCGCGTGTTCGAATTTCATTTAAATAAACAATATATTTTACACGCGTTGTATACGTCGCTATGAGTCCCATATTGAACAGGACGTGGCGCGACGACTGCCACCCTTTAATGGGTTAAAACGTGTTTGAAAAAGGTAATATTGATGTAACAACATTTACAGCACTTTCCATTAGAAAATTCTGCAGTAAATAAACATGGTTAATACAATCAGACGGCTTATATTAGGGCATTATGACGTACCACTGAAACAATATCGTACATTGCTTTAGTGAGCTTGAAAACATCTTCCTATAGTCATAGAATTTGTAATTTATATTTTCAAACAAAATTAGTGTAAAAACAAACTTGAAGGAAATCAGGAATCAAGACACCTATGCAGTCGCCCACTCAACTTGAGTTTAGGGATTTTATTTTCACTCAGGATCCTTAAAAACAATAGTTAAAGGGCGCCACGCATGCGCGAGATATATGGGTATCAAATAAACAAAGATGGCGACTTTGACTGTTGCGCAGATCAACGAGTACAAACTGAGATGTTACCAAGCTTTAATTAACCAATTTTCATGTTATTGGAAGGTACCGAAGGAGTCATCGGCGGTAATGAGTGCAAGCCGCGCCCAGGTAAAACCTCATACTTGTGATTTCTATTAGAAGAGCGCATTGGATTGTGGGAAAATGTTTATCAACACAAATGATGCACATGCGCATCGCGACGAGTGCCGCTTTAAACTACTGTCATACCATGGGTGGGGGTATCATTACACGGGTGGAGAAGATCACAACATAAAATAGGAAGATCACTTCATAGGGTGGAGGTGGTAATCTATGCATACAGATTACCGATATATCTATATATAGTACCTATGATAGTACATAACATGGACAGACAGGCACGTTTCGCAGAATTGTGTTGTAAGATAAGATAAGATAACTTTATTGACATTATTCTTTCTATAGAAGATGAACATAGTCAAGTGAAATAAAAAAAAAAAGTAAAAAGGATAATCAAAAAATTAAAATAACAGATTAATTAAAAGGCAATTAAAAGGTAGTACAGAATCAGGTGTTTTATTAATACACACCTGTTTGCATTATAAACACACCAAGCTTAATGTGGCAGTTTGACATAATGTAAATAAATTTATCGGGATGATCCATTGAAGTAAAATTAGGATTATCCTTGTGTAAGTCTGTAAAAAGTATCTGCCTCATTTTATTGTGCTGTGGGCAGTCCATAATGTAATGGTACTCATCCATGTTGTATGCTGCCCTCTATGTTTTATCAGTGTCTATGCTGTGAACTTTCGTTTTCATCGTGAGGGTACGAGTCCGGCTATTCAATTAGTCTCCCCTCTGATAATCTGTAAGGGTATCATAGGGTTGTGGTTTGCTGTATATTGGCTGGATATAATGCGAGGGTTGACTGCATTGCAATATTAAGGTGTGACTGCTTTTCACTTGTCATGGATCTCGGCGGATTGGTACATTTTGGCAGATAAAGCGTGAATCAAAACATGGCCGCCTCTTATGTAGTGATATTTCCAATAATTAGTATCGCTGGGAGAGTGCTTGCTTACACAAGATTTCCAAGCCGTGTGTGTTTGCATGCATGCAAGCACAGTACTTATAATTATAATTTCAATTTAGTCCTGTTCAATATGATATAAATACGTTTTTTTTTTTTTGTACTTTGAAAATTTAGTTATGTGTTATAACACAATTTGTTTTACACAAATCAGCTGTCAATGTGGAGACGTTGACCTACATATCATGATACAGGCTTATTGTCATGCATCTATAGCTAGCGACATATACCGGGTATACACAGATTAATGGCCTTCTGAAATTCAGTGTGGGTTTGTTATTTGAATACACATGTATATATAATAAATATTATTACAAGAGGGCTAGTACACAGTCAGCTGGCTACTAGTGATAATAAAATAAATGCTATTACCGGTAATTATATTTACTTTACAAGGGCGCATCTTGAACGGCTGCCCTATATACATTGTAGTAAATATCGTTAAATTAATCACATTTATTTTATTATCAGTTGCACCCCAGCTGACTGGGTGAGCACCAGTTACAGGCAGAATTGCAATCACTTGGAGATTACACTTAATGTTTGCACAAAACATACTGTATATGTACCTTAATTTTTTTCACCACCAGTTCATTTTTTCATCACAAAATAGTCCTGTTTATAGTCTGCGACTTCCTTCAGAAGATTGGTGGGATAAAAATAGCCAAATTTATTTTAGTAAAAACTGAAAATTGACTGTTGGCTCCAAAATTAGGGATTATTTCCAGATATATTGGAGTATATAGAAACAAAGCGCGGAAATATTTGGGCTAGAAAGTCTGGTGGTGAAAGGGTTAACCATGTTACACATTGATTCCTCGTGACATGATGCATCTCAACTCATTCAATGCTAGCAGTTGACGATTGAAGACCCAACGAGATGAAACTTTTGAGTGATGAATATAACTGGATGCTGCAATCATCCACTTCTTGGTCTAGACTGGCTCAGCCGTGGAAATTTCATGTATTTTTTCTTTTACATTTTGATCTGACACAAAATTACCATGATTCTACTGCATATGTATTTCTAATATTCATGATGTGCAGTGACATTATGGAAGCCAGTGTGTGCTTATGCAAAGAATTCCGAGCATCATGGTCACATGTGTTCTCCTTGCATAGAACATGTTGGATCAAAAGATGTCTTCTCGTTGGTAGACAGCTTACAATTCATGCTACTCATTAGCATATTTACCACCTCAAAAAATGTAACGACAAGGAATTATCATATAAAACGATAAAATTGTAACGACTAGGCCAGTCTTCTCCGAGTTAATAGCAAATATACGAAAGTCGAAGAATAGGTGTAGGCCTGGGTGGAATTCACTTTATTGTGGAAACTCATCTAAGTTGATAAAATTGAAGCAATCAAGGTCCTGCCACTGATCCAGGAGAATTGGCAGAGAAAACAATGTCGAAGCTATAAACAGTGGCAGGTAAACATTTCAAAATTCACTGTCTGTGATCCAATCTGATTACTTTTAATTGGTGGCGCCTCTAAATGCACCTGACCAATTACCAATCTAGAAACTGCAAAAAAACCTTTTTCCAAGTAAGGCATGCGTTCATTGGTCTCTTACTAGGAAACTTCATTTATGAAAACAAATATTATTTACTTACTATGTTATTTCTACTTCTGTTGTGTAAACAAACAACAAAATAAACTTAAACATGTTTTTTTTTTTTTTTGATTTCAACAAAATTTTTTTATTGAGAAGCCACGTTTTCAAGAATAAATTCACATGATGAAGTTTATGTGTACCACATGTACTTAATGTAACTACACTGCCGATAGTATTCACAAATCTACAAAGCTTAAAGCAGAAGGGTCGTTACCTGCGTACACGCAGAAATTGAGTCCCAAGCGACGATAACACACGCTAAAAACGCACAGGCTCATGTGTAGATGCTTGTTTGTAAACAATGACACGCTATGGGCATCGGACGTATGCGCAGGTGACGACTTCCCCGCTTTAACACAAGGAGCACCTTGTTTACATAAATATTTGTGAATAATGATAAAAATATCAACTCCACTGAGCAATAAACAAGGTGGAGCAGTCCAATGAAATTCCAGCATCCAGCAACATACATAAATTCAAAAATAAACATGTAAGCAAAAAAAATAATAATTATAATATATATATATTTCCTTTGACCCTCTGTAGTATGCATAAAGGAAAATTCTAAGAATGACCATATGACTTGGGGGAGGGGGGACAACACTGCATGTGATAATCAATGAGTTAAATCATGATTATTGTACAGGTAGTTAGTTTATAGAGTTAAAATATAAATGTTTCTACGTCCTAAAAATAAGACACTGTCTTATCCACTCATCAGGTACACATTTCACATGAACAATGTTAGGTACACAATTTTTTCAGGACTTCAAAAATAGCAAACATGATTGTAAATACTGATTACAATCAAAGAAGACACTCGTAACTGCTATAAATAACTCGCTCCAGGTGTTACCAAAGTGAGGCTCGGTGGTACCAAAGTGAGGCTTGGTGGTAATAGAGTGAGACTCGGTGGTACCAAAGTGAGGCTTGGTGGTAATAGAGTGAGGCTCGGTGGTACCAAAGTGAGGCTCGGTGGTACCAAAGTGAGGCTCGGTGGTACCAAAGTGAGGCTCAGTGGTACAAAAGTGAGGCTCAGTGGTACAAAAGTGAGGCTCGGTGGTCCTAAGTAAAGCTTAGTGTTTCAGTGAGACTTGGTGTTACCAGCATGAGATTCTGTACCAGAGCGAAGTTTTGAGGCATTTATACACATCATAACTGACTCTATTGTAGATAATAATCAGTCAATAAATACCACTTATTAGTACTGTGTCTTGTGTCTTGAAAGCAAAGTTATTGTTTTAAGACTTTTTAGAGCAATAGAAAAATAGGTGTTCCACACTATGTGACAAGACTTGTACGAGACTGTTCAAGATTGGATAAGTTAGTCCATGTGGTTTCTACCTGATGGTTCACATCTTGCACACAGAAGCAGAGTCAGTTAGTTAATTTAGTCTGATTCAATGTCAGATAGTGTTTCATACTGGGATGAAAGCAGAGGAGCAGGTTCTCTTTCTCTGGAGGTAGTAGAACTACTAATAGGACTTGGTGCAGAACGAATGCCAACAGTGTTACTGCCAAGTCCACGTAGAGATAAGGCAGAAAATGGAAAAGGATTAGCATAACCAGTTTGTGATGAGGAAGGATGTGAAGAGCTTCCAATCATAGATGATCCTGACGTACTGGCATGGGATACAGACGAATTAGGTAGCATCCCTGACTGCGACATTTTACCATTACCGCTACTTGAAATACCTTGTGCTTCTGATTCTTGTCCAGGTGAGACAGGTTTAGCTGAATGGTGTCCTCTTTCCATGCTGCTTGATGAGGCTGTCGCAGTGACTGATGCACCTTCGCATGAGGTAGTTGCAGTTATAGAAGTATCAGTCTCGGCTGAATCAGTGCTTGAATGCCTTGGACTGCTAGATCTGGCTTGTGCTTCACGTCTTGAAATAGACACTTCTGCCTCATGACAGCTTTCTGCATCAGATATATCAGAGATATTCTCAGCTTCACGTTTTTGTGAATGAAGTTGAAGATTTTGACTTGAATCAACTGTTTGGGCAGAGGATACATCAGCTCCCATGTAGCATCTATGACATCTTCAATCGACTTTTGAAGATCAAAATATCCTGTCCGTTTCTTCGGTATGATCTTAGATGTTATGGAGTCTGCCGTAATGAAATGTGAACTGGTTGGCGAGGTAGATTTGCTCTTATGTGTGGATATAAGCATACTGGTTGCTTTGTATCTATCACTGTTATCAACAGGTCGACTTCTAAAAGGAGAGACATGTCCTGCAGACGTGGCAACGACTCTGCTACTATCAGTTACTTCTGGACTGCTTCTTGGTTTAGCAGATTTATGTTGATCTGCTGATGAACCTGATTCTGGCTGCAGACCAGTATCTGGTGTAGGTGGTGTGCCTCCATTGCTATCATGTGTTGTATCAGCTATTGCACCACTTACTTCAGGGTGCACCCTCATGGACAGCTGCTTTTTTGGTATTGATCGAGGCTTACTGCTTTGTGACTTAGGGAATGATTCTGTTGAAAGAGAGGTATTCCTGCTAGAGTCTGCAAAGGTACCACTAACAGCTGTAGCCTCACTGGTATTACTGTCAGGTGCTGGTGGTGAGATTGGCTCAATATCAATATTGAGCATACTTTGCATGGAACGCATCTCGGATTTACCAAAAGATCCACTCATCATTCGGTCTGATTCATTCAAACATGATGAATGTGTCGCAGATGAAATACTAGCTGACGTACTTGTTTCAGGGGAATTGCTTCTTCTAGATGGTCCAGTTATGGAACTGCTTGCAGGCTTACTCAATACATTAAAAGTTGTTGAAGCCATTTCTGATGTTGGAGTCCGATGTCGTCTGTCTTTAGTTACAGATTTAGTGGCTGCTCCTTCATTTCCACCAACACTAGTGTCTGATTCTGTTTCAGAACCATATGAAGATTCTGCAGACCCAACAGATCGTCCATAGTCCTGAGAAATAATTGAATCAATATGCTCTCCCAGAGTGATTGGACGGTTCAACTTTTCTCTTCTGAAGACCAACGAGTGTAACTCAGTCCTAGCATCTTCAGAAACACCCTTTTCAGGACCTTTACCCTCTCCAGTGGATTCTACCGCTGATTGTAACTTTTTTGTTGAATCATCTTTCTGAGTGGAATCAGATTCTTTTCTAACAACACGACTTGCTTCAGCAGGTTCTTCACTAGCTGACATTGGTTGGTTGATTGATCTTGTAATTATAACATCAATTAAATTTGCGGCCGTTAATGATGGTTTTGATTTCTTTCCTGGTTCATTTTCAACTTCAGTTTGTTTATCTTTTTCAAACAATGCTGCGAATATTGCAGAAGCTTCTTGATGCATTGGTGTCTCGTGGCTGCTGCAACTACTGTTACCACTACTACTTGCAGATTCTTTTGTAGATTTTTCAGGTTTGGGTTCATGTGGCCGTGTCGTTTCTTTCCTTTCTCTCATCACTTCCATAGATGTTCTTCTTTCTGGTTGATTTCTATGATGGCTTTCCCATTCATAATGCTTTCGTGTTGGGTAATGCATTCCAGGATGTCCACTCAGATCTTGTGGCTTCTCATGTGCAACGCCTCTTGGGGAATGTACTGTAAAATAACAAATAACACAATATATACCACTTTCACTAAATCTGTATGTGTTTTATAGAATATCTGTTATACTTTTTGAACCCAAACTTTAAATATGCAATATAGATGTAATTTTCAATATTGTTCAATGCTACATATTGAAGATATTAGATTATGTTTTATCACAAAGAATCTAGCATTTTGAATTGGCAATATTAAAGACAAATTAAAAGTAATTGATGACTTGCAGTACCTGCAATATAGATGTAATTTTTAATATTGTTCAAAGCTATATATTATAGATATTAGATTATGTTTTATCACAAATAATCTAGCATTTCCAATTCGGCAAGATTAAAGACAGATTAACCTATAAACATAAACTATATATAAAAGTAACTAATGACTTGCAGTACCTTGCATGCCTGGTGAAGATTGCCTTGCTCTGTGTTTAGGAATCTCCAAAGTGGGTGCTGATACTGCAGCGTCAACCAGTACATTAAATGCATCACTTCCATTAGTTTGACCTCTGTTAGCTGTGAAGTATAAAAGTTTATATCTAGAGGTGGACTTTCAAAAAACGTGGGGGGGGGGGGGGCAGAAAAACTAAGCAAAATATTTGTTTTCTATATGTCAAATTTAAAATACATCAGGCTCTTATGGAAGAAGAATATGAAAACAGAAAAGGTAAACTGATACTGACTGATGCTAAAAGACAAGAGGGAATATGCACAGCACCACTTGCATCTTGAATATAAATACCACTAGAATAAGGAGGATGCAAGTTAATGTAGGTACATATTAATATGAGATTATTAAAAGGATACCTCAAAGTATACACTCACACTGTACAGCAGGAGTATCGATTGACACAAAGCGGAGGTCGATGTGACAGCGTACTGTCTGAGTGCATACTTTGAGGTATCCTCATAATAATCTTATTATTATACATCTTTTCTTTCCAAAGATACATCATGGGAATGCCGAAATCTAAAATGTTTAGAACAGAATCAGCCAACTTTGTGTGGCGTCTGGTAAAAACCTGGAGGCAACCATGTTTGCTTTTATTATTACAGGACGCTTATGCACGTAATCATTCCATATTTGGAATTCGCATTTCCTAATATGGTAGGATAAAAATACCGTACGCTGTAACTTATGACGTTACGGTGACATATGTATAATAATATATACAATATTTGCTTTAGTAGTTAAAGTCACAAGTCAAAGGTCAACAAATCAAAAAACAAATCGATGTGCATATGCCTCCCAATATGATTTAAATTCAGTACCAACTTTGAATAAATTGGTCAAGGATTGTCCAAGAAATGATGTCAGATTGGTGAACGAAACTAAAAACACAGACTATGTCTGCATTGTCTATAGGATATGAAGAATACAACAAAAGTAGACTTACAGGTAGTTGTAGGTGGTGGAAATATTGATCCAGGAGTGTGCTGCTGCTGCTGCTGCTGCTGCTGCTGCTGCTGCTGCTGATGATGATGATGATGATGTTGTCTATGTTGTCCTGCAGATGACTGAGTTTGTCTGCCAGTACCATGTGTACCCTGTGTATGTGGTGGCAGTGATCCAACTGAAACTGGCCCAGCTGTTGACACCATAGTACCACCACCACTAACAGAATGTGGCACCATTGACGGATGATGTCTGACAGGCATACCATGTTGTAAGCTACTACTCACACTAACTGTAGGCCCTCCAGCCGGACTATTACCTCTCACATGGTGATGCTGTTTCATGTGCTGATGAGGCCATGACCGTGATAGTACATGTTGCTGGGCATATTCACCAGCAGCGCTAGTTTGCAAAGCTGGATTTGGCGAGCTTCTTTCACGATGTTGTTGCATCGGCGATGCTGTTTGTTGTATTCGGCCTTCAGCAGGATGTTGTCCTCCATGTTGGCCACTATGTAGAATCCCATGTTGACCACCGTGCTGTCCACCATGTTGACCACTATGCTGGCTGCTAATTTGACCACCATGTTGATTATGTTGTTGATTATGTTGTCCACCATGTTGCCCACCATGTTGACTATGTTGCCCACCATGTTGACTATGTTGTCCACCATGTTGACTATGTTGCCCACCATGTTGCCCACCATGTTGACCACCATGTTGACCACCATGTTGACCACCATGTGCACTGGCCACAGCATGTGGACTCAGTGTATGATGTCCATGTGGAGATATCTGATGATGTCCTGGATGCACATACACTTTATTGTGTTGTGGTACATACATAAGAGACTGTGAATAAAAATCTCTGATTTAGTCATATGAGAAATGACAATATTAATTACCTAGACCAAATGAACATGTAAAACATAATAATCCAGAAACTTTTATAGCCTCCTAAAAAAGACACTGATAATGCCTAATCTCTGTATTGTTTTCATTGATAGTTGATCTCAATGCAGTACAAGTCACATGTAGTTAGCAAAAAAGCTCCATGCATCATCATTATGTCATTTTTAATGCAGGATGACAAGAATGTGAATGATTCTGATAAAAAGTTTGAATAAAACTGCCCTGTTTCATGGGAAATGTTTTGATACGTATAGACATAGACATTTCAAGATTGTCGACATTTTTATGAGTAATTGATTGAAAACTTTCAACTGAATCATGCAATATACTGAGGAATCAGCATTGATATAGATAACACAGCGCCAGTCAAATCTAAAAAAAATATGATATGAACATATGGTACATGTATATCACAATATGCATAATGATCATCTGAATGAAATCGGTTTATTTTCGTGAAATGGTTCTGAACAATAGGATCAAATCACAAAATCAAATAATCTATGGTATTACCTTGTGTGGAATCTGAATGAGGCAATATATTAGTGAGGAATCTGCAAGGGTATGATTCTCAAAACAAGCTACTAAAAAAACAATTTAATTTATTTTGATGTTTTGAGCAGCAATGCAAAATATGTAAACTTTGACCATTTCCATGACATTTGGGACACTCGTTTATCAAATTTTTTTTGAGGACACCAAAATCTTTTTAATTTCCAGAATCATGGTATTAAAGTATAAACCATGTAATGTAAGCATGAAAAAGATGACATATAATCTTCATTTTGGCTTGAAACTTTTTTCTCCTTGACAAGTTCTGTAGTAATATATGTGTGAACTCAACTTACCTGTGTTACTAATGGTGCAGCACCATATACATATGCAGGATTAGGATGATTTGGTGGTTCTACTATATGCGACTGTGTTGGGGAATAACGCTTGACAGGGTGGGCAGTGTCCACACCTCTAGGAGAGAGTCTGGCATCTTTATTACTACCATGGCTTGGATACGGAGACTGAGTTTGACTCATCTGTCTGGCAATCATAAAGTCACCTAATAGCAAACAAACAATGCAATCAATATATGAAATATAAATCGTACTCACATGATAGTTACAACACATAAACCAGTTTTTTGTGTACCATAATCATCAAGTGAGCATAATTAATCAAATCTGTAACATGGCTTTCACAAATTGGCGTTTTTGTTTGTACTTTGATCTTGTATACCATGCCATAAACATGTTATTCTCGGGAGTGGCGCTCTGTTCTAAAAGTTCTATGTTGTTAAGACGTGCACCACTGTACCATGTATTTCTATGAGCTCTGTGAAAACTGCTGTGGAACACCGGTCAAAGAGCTGGTGAAATTGGCTATTGAAAATCAAGATAACAGTATAAATTTAAAATTTGAAGTAATCCTAAGCAACCAAATTGATATACGTTGCACACGCAGGGGTAATCTTGGTACACTTAACAGGGGAGTCTCTACCTCTGTTTTCACTGTGATGGTTGCCAGATACAAATACAAATACCCGGATGTCAGCCACCCCTGCCCCCCACCCCCCGAGAATAATATACAGGTAACCATAGTAATTGTAGAACACTCATTGGCCAATTCAAGACAGCTGCGTTACAAATATAATGATATACCAATACAAAATATGTTGAGAGCAACTTTATATGGTTGACCACAGAGAAGAAAACATGCATTTTCAAGTTTCCACTTTGATTTTGTTTGATAAATTTTTAGTGACCAACATTCACACTCAACTATTAAGATAATCAATACAGTTTCCACACTACACGACTCTTAAAGA